CTCTGCCTGGTATTTGTCTGGAGGTAATCACGTGATGTCGGTCTGTATAATAATGCGAAAATTTCCGAGATAATTTTTTCAAGATATTACATTGTACTTCAATACCAGATCAGACCTCACACTCTGTTGAGATGTATGAAAAGTTTAGATAGGCCTATATCAAAACTTTTAGAGGAGTAACAATGCTATTACTGTTTGTCCCCTATAATGCGTGCATGACAGGTCTTGATTGCGCTGTTTCTGATAGCCATTGGTTCGTTCGACACCTTACTGTACGGTCTGAGCTTCGCTGGCTGGGGGTTCTACGGCGCAGCAGTCATGGCCGTCCCAGTCCTCCGCTACAGACAACCCGACCGACCAAGACCCTTCAAAGTACAATATTTCAATTATTTTGTTGTAGCAGATGCCATTTTTTATAACAAAGTGAGCATGCGCTAGAATGCAGACAGGGGCTGTGTGCTGCCACCAAGAGTCTGAGATTTCGGGCTTTTTGCTGCCACCAAGAGTCTAAGAATTTGGGCTGTTTCCTGCCACCAAGAGTCTGAGATTTCGGGCTTTTTGCTGCCACCAAGAGTCTAAGAATTTGGGCTGTTTCCTGCCACCAAGAGTCTGAGAATTCGGGCTTTTTGCTGCCACCAAGAGTCTAAGAATTCGGGCTTTTTGCTGCCACCAACAGTCTCATCAACCTATTTGTTTTCGTGAGACGGATCTGTCATTTCTGTACAAGGCGCCACGACATTTGAACAGACTTCCAGTCGGGCTGTGGGGATAACGCTACTCCTTTCACCAAGGGGTCATTTAAACACAAATTTACCATTTTTGTTTGTACTATGTTTCTCTTTAGGTGCCCATCATTCTGGCGATGTTAGTTTTCATCTGCTCTCTGTACCTCGTTATTTCTCCGTTCGTAAACGGACCCGACATCGAGATCATCTACGCATGTCTGTTTATCCTGTCTGGGCTCGTCTTCTATTTTCCTTTCGTCCACTTTAAGTTGCGGCCTCGCGTTATGGGTAAGTGTATTACATTGTAAATAAATACAACTTAAAATGTTCATTTTTATTGCAAGAAATTAGGCATGCCCCCCAAAAAAGGAAATAAATAACAACATATGTTTTAAAGATTAAGAATTAATGCAGTACGTTTTAAAAAGAGATCAAGGTACCAGTCACGTGGCACAGGAGAAAGAATGTCATTGGTCAGTGCTGAATGACAGGTTGAAATCTTATTCTGATTGGCCGATATTGGTTCTTCCAGTTTCAAGGTCAAAGTTCAAGTTGGCATCTAGACATTAGTTGAATCTCAAAAAAGTGTCTAATGTGATGAAAAAAAAATCGAAAAATAAACAAAATCAATTACAAATAAATATTTAAAATCACCAATGCAACTTTTTTTTTTCAATTTCAGGTCGCATTACAGCATTCCTGCAAAAGCTGCTGATTGTTGTTCCCTCAGATTATGTGGAACCAGAGTAAAGTTATGGATCCTTCTGAATATTCATGGTCGATTACACTAAAGACGGGGACTTCAAAATGGTGTAACATTGGTTAACATAACCAATCATTGGTTGAAATAACCAACAATTGGTTTATATGTGTCCAACCAATCGATTGGTTGGACACGTATTAGTCAATCAAGTTGGTTAACCCAGTCTGTTTTTAGACTGTAGAATCATCCATATCATAATGCATATTCATGAAGGAATTTGAACCTTGTAAAATGCATGCTTAATTACGCCTGAATTATGAAACCATAAAACATGCAATCCATTATGGTATAGAGCATTGCATGCATACTTTTACCAAACTAAACTATTTATTCATTAAAACCAATGATACATTGAACTATTTAACTTTCAATTTCACTATAAAAAAGTGGTCTATATTAATATTTAAACTTATGAATATTCGATAATGAATGTTTTTCTTGTAAAGATAGGTGCCAGGTGTTAGTAAGGTATTGGGATTATTCAGTTAGCGCCGAATATCATTAAGGTATTTTCATTTTGAGGTCAGAAGGGACTTTTTGGAAATTAAAGTAAGTAGATAAGTAGGAGACGATTAGTTGTTTTATTGGAACATCCCGTGAAAATGGAATAGCGCCACCTATTGTTTGACATTGACCATTATGTCGGTTTCGAACAGCGCCCTCATGGGAAGAATATGTGTCGAGCCCCCCCCCCCCCCTGCAAAAATGAAGAATACAAGTATTAGTATAGATATAAAGGCCAGAAGAGGTGGCAAAACAACCTCGTTCCCCATGGGTACGATCTTGCTGCGCCATGTTGGTTCCCATATCATGCCTTGCGCGATCTTAACCTCTGGAACTGTGCAATATAAAGGCATATTCGAAACTCGCACGCTTATAAAACATTCTTCTGCCACCAATCGTCTGGGTATCGCACATTTCATGTGCCCGCCATATGTTCGCACGTCCCATCGATTCTGCATTACAACACTAACTTTCCAATTTTAATCAGTATAGATCTTTCTGTTCCTTTTCAGTTTACATTACCCCATTTATACCAATTTGGCACTCGGTAAACGTAGTTGCTTCCATTTCTCTTTTCGACATTATTAACGGAATGAGGGATGTCGATCAAAACACACTTTTTAATTTCCATAATTTTTTTAAATCTTCCGTTCCTGTCCTCGTCTCGCTGTTCATACAGAAGATGTTTCTGGTTGCTCCATCCTCATATCTCGAGCCAGACGATAAATAAGGAGACTATGACACCATCCAGGAGGTGGAACGCATTTTAATGAAAGTAGAGATATATATTTCGCAGTTCGCTGAAACACCATCCCAAATAACTGGAGCAAGTCTACTAACGAAGTTGCATGTTTTAATTGTGTTCATACAAAAAATTACGTTGATCAGATCATAAATATCCTGTCGCATACTAACCATCGAGTGAGCACCACCGAATAATCACAAATGCCAAAAAATCACAATATTTTAGAAACATTTACCAATTAACAGTTATAGGTCCGAAAGTAGTTTTTTAACAATATAATTTTAGGTAAGAGGTTTAGTGCATAACCTTTCGCTGTATTGGATATGGGTTAATAATTTTGTTCAATAATTTTTATGTTCAATATAACATTTAATTATAACGTCAAAGACCTTTAAATACGGTACTACGTTACAGTGATACCCAAAGCTGAACTAAAACTTAAGTCGACAATGGACCGATCCAGTAAGCCCCGCCCACTGCGAACTGAGCAAATAAACACGTGCTCCTCTCCAACGCCACACTGCATTTTCTTGCCGCGCGCATCATACGCGCGTGCACGCACGTCGGACTTTTGTGCACGCACGTCGGACATAAATCACGGCTGTCATTGGTCAGAACACCATGGGGCGGTGCTTACTGGATCGGTCCGTTGCAGATACAGGAGAGAAGAGCAGTTTGAAGTTTGTTCAAGTTTTTTTTTCTTCAATAAAACGGTATCATTCAAGTCTGTTCATGTGTACCAAACTGTGTACGGTGTTGGGGAGTAACTTTTTAACGCGTCCAAATAAGTACGAACGCGGTCACAGAAGGTTTAAATAAACTCAATATTACAATTCCAGAATTCCTCTGTCAAGTGTTCTTTGATAGTTACTTGATGTAAACTATTTGACCAGTGTCATTTGCACATCTGGTCCACGGTACTGCATGGAAACGTATAATGCTTGATATGGCCTGTATGCAGAAATACTACCCGAGATTATGCAAAAGAGACGAATTATAAGGGCTGTTCATGTCATAAGTTTGGTCGACGTGGGTAATATTCAAACATATTTATTGTCACGTAACCATATGGAAAAGTATTAATTACAATTGCTTCGAGGGCAACATGACCTCACGACATATACTGATGCTTTTTACATAGGCCTATGATTTTGTTTTCCACCAGAATATTTAATTTTACTTATAACAACGCGGTGTCTTTCTACCTAAATGAGAAATACGTTATTTTGTTTAAGTATGGAAACTTAAACAATGTACATCAACGTTTGGGGGTCGACTGCAAAAACTTGTTATAACTTTAATATTTGAAGATTGTATTTCCAAGACGCGATATGCGTCATTGTGTTCCGTTTAAGAACCCTGCCCTATCCAAGCTGCCAAAAAGCAATGTCGACGGCTGTTATATTCTTAAACACAACTTAAGAATACAATAAAGCGAAAAATTAAGGTTGAAAACAGCTGTCATACTTTTTCTTATTTTTTTTTAAAGGTTATAACCGTGCAAAATTTTCACCGATTTCAAATGGATAGGCCTATGCCGCGTTTGTGGAAATAAACTCTTCTCTCTTGTGTGTGAGCATGCTTTCGTAGTCGATATGTCAGAGGTCAATGTAATTATTAATCCTACACTTGTTGCAAATTATGCAAAAAAGCCTCAGCCTCAGGTACAGTTTCCAATTCCATAATTGTTGTTCCGGAAATTAGGCACAAGTTCTGCTACTTCACCTATAATTATATTAGTTTGTTGCACAGGCGTTGGGGATTATTGTATCATAATATGTAGGCCTATGCTTCTTTTTAATAACTGAGACTTGTAGGTTGCATAAAGTGGACATGACCTTAGTATGAAAGGTGTGCTATAACACCTAGTGGATCTCTGTTGAGTTGTGTGTTTCTGAGTAGAACCAGTTTTTTCAAAACAACTGAGTTAAAACAACTGGTTCTTAAAACTCAAGAGAGATGAAATTCCCATGCTGTTACCACAATTACCGTCCATATGTATGCTTTGTGATCAGTCGTGGGTTTCCAACACGAAATTCATGCAGACCTTGCTTGACCCACTGGCTCTGGCTCAATGAAGGGGAACCATGAAGGAGAGGCCTCACAATAGAAAGGGCAGCAACGACATTGTTAGAATTGAATATTTATAGGTGCTGTGAATTCAACCTTCTGTCCGTACGAAAGGGAACGTCCGGGTATTAAAGTTGGCTTTGTATAGTGGTTTTCAGTACCAGTTCCCACTGCAGTGTGGGCTTCTGTACTGTCTTGTTTTCTGCATGTAAAGAAGACGCAGGCGTAGTATATCCGGTGTGTTGTGAAGTATTGCATGCATGCTGTCCTGTACTTTTAAAGATATTCTAAACTATTCGTCGACCTGCTCTACAGATGTCGGACGAAAGCCTACTAAGTCACAAGGTAACTGTACGTCTTCCTTATCTTGTTTTACGGGACCGTGAATTTACACACGAGGACCCTAAAATTATGAACGGTCGCACCGCAATGTCCGTATGGTATTGAACAGACTGGGACCTGAAGTGCTCAAAACGATGAAAAAGAAGATCAGGCCAACTTTGTCTCACTCTTAAGACAGCAAATTTCTCCAAAACTTTCAATGGGCAAAGGGAAGGTTCTTGATGTCACCAACCAAGTTTGAAGACTCAATTCAATTTTTAAAGGAGACTTTTCTTCAATATTTGGCAGTGGCTTGCAAATGAAAGGAAAGTCCAGTGATTTCAAAATGAGGCTGCTAGACTTGTGCATGTCTGTTTATGGTCCACCTGTTTGGCAAGACTTACATCTTTATTCATAGTCTGGTGCCTGACTTTGGAGAAATGTGTAGAAATAGTGACCTAGTACCCGACATCCTAGATATTTCTTTGGCACAGTCAGCCGACAGTTGATTGATGCAGTACTGAAGCGCTGTTCGACTGGTTGTTTCAGGTGCCAGTCTATTTTGCACTTACATGTAGCCTATTGCATGTTTTCAATACCTTAAGTTTTTGGACACTGTATTGAGAGTCCCACATTTTCGGACTTGGTCAGTATTGAGCATGTTTTGTATACTGTAACGGCAGACGAGTACAGTCGTTCATTTGAAAACTTAACAGTACATACAGGATAGTTTGGTGACCTTCGCTTCTGACACGTAAACAAGACAGTGGCGTAATTAGATTCAGTGACCGAATAAAGAGGATTTGGATTGGGGGAAATTACTGACTTAGGCAATAAATAATGAAAAAATAAACCAGGTGAGTCGCACTGGCATACCCGTGCTTAGGGCCTATCGTGGTGTAGTTTCATCTTCTTTCTAAAATTGGTTTCCTTTTCTCTGGAGTTTGTCCCCTCCGTTGCTTTTTGACGAAGAAACCCTGGTTCATGACGTTTCTAGCTGTCACTACCTCTCTTTTTGTTATGCCCCGCCCCGTCCCATATGGGCTATAAAAATCCTCGGTGTGTCATGTAGTTTGATTTCAACTTTTGCAAATTCCATGCCAGCAGAGAAGGAACAGCTACTAACACTGGTGAAAATTTTTAACGCTTGATAGAAACGGACCATGAACAAGAACATTGGTGTAATGGCGGAACACGACAGTAGCCCTTCCGATTCCAGTGGGAGCGTAAGTGTTGTTCCTTCTGGAAGGAGATCCTCCAGCGATGAAAAGGTTCATCTGCGACGAGAACTCGGATTGGTAAAAGGTAAGATTGGAATTGAAGGCCCCATGCAAGGTAATGTTTTTAATACAGTCCGTGTAAATGTGCCTTTATGACCACTTTAAACTGATTTTAAATTTTCATTTTGCAATTTTTAAGGTCATTTTGGTGCCTTTTTATTTTTTATGCCAATGTATATTTGCATATTCATGGGCAAATGTGTGATGTCATTTCAGGCAGAAACCTCAATGTTACAGTTATTTCAGCACCAAAGTTTACCAGAATTTTGGATTTTTTGCTATCGTAAATTTTCGTTTCTTGCCTCGTTGTTGCTTCAGTACATGACAGCGGCCAAAGAGCAACATTTTCTCAAAAATGTTTTTTCAGAACAGTGTCTTCCTGAAATGACATCACAGCAATAGCGCCCTCATTTGTCAGGAAATGCATGGGAAATGTTATATGTTTAAAGAAGTGCACTTTTCAATACAATTCAACCCTAAATGGGTTGTCAAATTGTTTTCATACATTTATAAGAGGAGCAGAAAGTTGCACAAAACATGTTCCAAGATTGTCTGAAATAAATAGATTATCTGAGTCTATCCTCCGTACCGGAGTCGTTCACTGTTTTTGTGTCTCTCTCAATTTTGGTCAAAGGTAATATATTTTCTGTCTCATCCATCTTTATATTTATGCTCTAATATCATCCCTTATAAGCAATTTCAATCGTGATGGGGACTATCATTGGATCCGGGATCTTCATCTCACCTCAAGGAGTCTTACGAGGAACACAAAGTGTCGGGCTGAGCTTGATCATTTGGCTTGTGTGTGGACTGGTCTCCTTGGCTGGTATGTTGGTCGTTACGCCCCAAATACACTGCAAAAAAAACTTTGGTCAACTTTTGCCCAACTTTTTTCCCAACGTTGGTACAATAGTCAACATCCACATCTGTCGAGCGAAAAATGCCCAGCGGCCGTTGGGCAAACATGTTTACCTAAAACTTGGGAAATATTACAGACTGAACAGTTGGGTACTATTAATCATCCGTTAGTTGGGTTAATGTAAAGAACCAATTGTTGGAAAGCCATTAACCGAAAAATGGTTTAAAAAAATTTGACAAGTTGTTGATTAATATTTTCTCAATTATTGGTTACTAAGAAGAGTCATATGTTGGGTACTATATTGTATAGATTTGCTCAATTTTAGGGCAATTATGTTGACCATTGGTTGGTGTTTGCGGAATGCTTAAAATAAGGGATACCGTTAAAGCGAGGCTTGTTTTGTTTTATTACAAACATCATCATCAAACAGCAAACTTTTGAACACTTTTGAACATTTCTAAACTTAAAACTTTGAAGCAGAACCCTTTAAAGCATTTAAAGGGGAGTTGATTACGCTGGATGAGTTTTTTTTAATAATAATCTTTTTAAAATACGATTTTCAAAGAGATGGTTTAAATTAAATCTGCAAAGTTTTCCTTGATCAACTGACAATAATACGTTGATGGCTTGGTGTTCAAATATTTCAGAATTAAATATAACTCGAGTCCAGACAACATAAAAACATATGTTGATGACTTGGTTTTCAATTACTACATACTTAAAATAACTCAATTCAAGCATGTTCTGAAAATATTTAAAAATACAAAATTTCAAATATATAACGATGATTGCATTATGTTAAAATCCAAACTGTACAAAATTATGTTTGATATTGGAATTGGGTCCTTTATGTGCAAAATGGTAGATGCGTCTCAGGGTAACATGGGTAAACCCCCCATTAATGTTTGGCTTTGAGTCTGTATTTGTCTAATAAACTGTTATTAAACATGTCTTTCAAACATATAAGGCATTTTAACCAATGTATCTATAACACTCTACATTTGTGGAGGATATATTCATTTGTGGGATATTTTTTTTTAATAAAATACGATTTTCAAAGAGATATTTAAAAATGAATAGGCAAGATTTCCTTGATCATCTGACAAGTACGTCATAAAAATAAATTACAACAATTTTATTGAATTTTTTTTATTGAACAGTTAATAAGTAGATGTTTTTCCATAGGCTACAAACGGCAATTACTGCCCTTAAACGGCAACTGCCCTCAAAATAATGTTAATGTTAGTGTGCATTTTTCCACAGGCAAAAGAAGAAAAAAAAACCCTGTTATGATCTATCGTAAAACACTAACATGATGCAATTTTTTTTTCATTCATTGTTAGAGTTAACAATTTATTTTATTTATTTGAGACTTCCTCGAGATGTGGGCTACAAACTAGAAAAGAGCAAAAGAAACAGAACGAAATGACGTCCTTATGAGTAGAGAGGGGTGTTCGTATTTCTTTTGAATCGTTAAAAAATTGTTAAGGAGTTTCATAGTACGGAGCTCTGAAGGTGCCATCAAGGATGGTGAGATCCTGAGAGAATATATAATAGGATGACGACATTTTACACGTGAGTTTTCGACATCCTGAGATAATTTTGCGCAAATCGCATACAGCTTATAAGCCTTTGTACTGATGATGACGTCACACTTTGTTTACTGGGCTACGAAACTGTCGTCCCCACCAGGCTCACATGAGAAGGCACACAATGTAAACAAAGCGTGAAGTCATCATTACAGAGGCTTATACACGTTTAAGATGTCGACTTCTAGTCTACCTTTCCAGTGATAATTTAATTTTTTTCAGGCGCTCTGTGTTTTGCTGAGCTGAGCATCGTCACAGGCAAATCTGGAAGCCAGTACATTTACCTGAAAGAAGCCTACGGTGATATCCCGGCATTCCTCTACTCCTGGACTTCCAGCCTCCTCACGCGACCAGGGGGTCAGGCCCTGGGAACCCTGGCTATGGGGACGTACATGGCTGAGTTCCTCGTACCCGGAGACTGTCCGAGCCCAGATATTCTCATCAAGCTGTTTGCTGTGTTGGCTCTCAGTAAGTTTAAGGTAGTCCGGTCCACAACATAACACTTTCATGTAACTGCGAAGTGCAGGAACTATTTCCTTAAATATTACAAGCTGACCAATGACGATGTCATCGGAAATACTCTTCGCTGAGCACACCGACTTGCAAATATAATTTTGTTACTTTTGCGACTTGTCAGTATTTTGTCTAGCCCGTATTTTTGGGTTCTTTTTATTCTGAAGCATGAGTATGGCAACCTTACATCTGCATTTTGCATGAAAAGACACTGCAAATGTGGCTTTCATATTCAAAGAGCCCATAAAGTAACCGAACGTGTCTATCCAGTTGCCATGATAGAAGTTATATTGGTTCACCGTTTAACAAAATCTATGTGTTTTTCTTCTTCAGTGATCGTGGGGTTTGTGAATGCCGTCAGTGTCAAGTGGACAACCCACCTCCATGTTGTTTTCACGGTGTCAAAGGTCATCGCGCTGCTAATCATCGTCGCTGTCGGTGTGTGGATGATGATACAAGGTGAGTTAGGGTCGCAAGAGGTAGGGACAAAATCGGTCAGAAATGTAACAGATTGAAGGAGAATGGTTAGATTTTTTTAGTTGATTTCAAAATCGAGATAAGGTGGCCAAAAAGACGCGCACGATGAGGAAATGAGTGAGGAAAACGATGAGACTCAATCAAAGAGAATAATTAGTGGGAGTGGAGAGTAATTATCACGCACGTGTGTGAAGTACGTAGGGGAACGGCTTCGAACTAATTAAGAAAAGGGTAGGCGATTTTGGTTTTAATGATGATTCATAATAGTATTTGATTTGCAACATTAGAGGCAAGAAAAATATGTGACGATGTGATGTTATGGATCGTGTTGCCTTCTAGTAATTAATGGCTGTGATTGTGGTGTTATTGTTACAAGGTAGGAAACTATGGGTGAAATGGGGGCGTGTCACACCTGCATTTAAGACAACTTTTTACAAGATGGTACATCAATAACCTTATGGAACTCTATTTGTCAGGTCACACTACATACATCAGTCCCAGTGTATCCTTCCGCGGCTCCAACACAAAGGTCCTGACTCTCACGGCTGCTTTCTACCAAGGCTTGTACCCGTACGACGGATGGTACGTACGTGTATACTGATCTGATCCACTAAGCCCCTCCCAATGCTCTTTTGACCAATCACAGCCGTGATTTATGTCCGACGTGCGTTTATTAATGTCCGACATGCGCGTGCACTCGCATGTGACGCGTGCGTTTGGTAAAATGCAATGCATTGATGAGGCCCACGGACGAAGTGGGCGGGGCCTAATGTATTGGTCATTTTTACATGACAACTTCAATGCAGGAATGCAGATATTGCGAGTTCTAGACTTTTAAATCCCTATTGTAGGTCTACGCGATTCGTTCCACACAAGCCAACGTGGGGAGAATATGAGCGAAATATGTTGGCTAGAGTTTAGCATGACCATATTAATGTAAGACCAAAATTTAGACTGACCCTGAGCACACATCCCTGATACCACTCTCACAACAGGTGTTCCACATTACACCCAAGGTCTTCACGTCACTCTTTTCCAAGCAATACACCCACAGCATACCAAGACTGTGATTTAACCCTTGTACAGGGGAAAGTGACCTCATAAGGGTACTCCCCCAGACTGACCATTACGTCAGTCCATGGTCAGTCTACCTTTACTCAGAAATGATGTCATATAAGTTATGTTTTCCTTATATGACATCATCTCCTATTTTCACCCCAAGTGGTCCCTCTGAAACTGTATAAAATGTCCACATTTTCCCACTTTCATTGAGTTCTTCTTCTTCTCCCTGGGAAACCAGAGGCATAGCCATAAGCTGATTCAGCCCTATGCTCTTGCCAGTCTTCATCTACAAAACTCTTCAGAACCTCTGTCTTCTGTCTGAGTGTCTCCAACTTCCGTATTCTAGTACCCAGCCATACCCATAAGCTGATGCAGCCGTATGGTCTGAGGTTATAGTTCTGTACATACACAATACCGGTAGAATATTGAGTTCTTGAAAATAAACCAGTTTTCCATATAGCTGAGCTCATAGTCATTACCAGTGTGTCTTTGTATAGTCTTCGTAGTCATCTGTTCATCCTGCTCTTAGCCACAGCTACCCTATCCTAACCTATAGAGTATAGTCAAACAAACCAAAGACTATAGCCAAATCTATATGTTACATTAAGCGCAATTTTTGTCTTTCATGCAGGGGGTCTTTGAACACCGTGTACGAAGAAATTAAAAATCCAAAAAGGTAATCATTATTATTTTATTGATAATATTCTTAACAGTATTATTTTGGAATTTTAAGCGCCCCAATAGCATCCTTCAATAATCAGAACTATAAATGTCTGGCTTAACTCAACTTATCCGGTAGATCAGATTTGTAATTTGTTCAACAGTAGTTTGGAAGGTAATTTAAGAAAAAGTGAGATAAAAGGAGGTGTTTTGTCGCCGTTTTTGTTGAACTTCTACTATACATTTCTTCCAATAGAAACGTTCCTCTTGCCGCCATTGTTGGTATACCGGCTATCATAGGCATCTACATCCTGGTCAACATGTCGTATCTAACTGTCCTCACACCTGATGAGCTCATTGCATCTGACGCAGTCGCAGTGGTTGGTATCACTCATAATATATGCGCATTAATTTGAATATTTAAATTTAAATCGCACACACTTTACCATAATAAAACGAAGCGCGCATCGGCTCGACCGGAAATGTCCACACAAGTTTAACGTGAGGAAATGACACATTTTTACACTAAATTCCTTGTATCTTCAGAACGGATCGACGGTCGCACAAATCTGGGGGTTGCAGATTATGAAAATTCATTCTTCTGACTTTAAGTCTATCTATGTCTAGCTTGGAAAGGCAGAAAAACCACTGATCATTTTTTTAATGAAAATGTGGGGTATGGGGCAATTGCCTATGGAGCGGAACAGAAAATGACCGTTTGTGACAAACCTTTGGTTGTTTATCTCAACGTATCTCGAGAACCCAATGTCAGAGCGCACTGGGGGTAGCGGTTTTGTAAAGAGGATGAAGTTCTCTTTCCATTCATCGTCGCAAATTGAAGGATTTTATGTAAGGGATATTACGTCCGAATTTCAGCCCAGGAAATTAATTCTGGTTAAAATGGGAGCATTTTGAAAGTACACTTTCAAACTCGAAAATTTTAGTATGCGACAACAAAGAAGTGACTCCACAAGGATACAAATTCTAGTATATACGTGCGTTACATTTGTTTTTAACCCTGCAGAAAGCTAATTTTATTTGGTCAGAATACAAAAATAATCATTTGAATAGCCTTTAGAATTATACACCAACATTGTACCTTCCTTGCTTTCTTTTCAGAATTTTGCCGAGCGATCTCTGGGGGTAATGTATTGGGTAATACCCCTCGGTATCTGCATATCTATGTTCGGTGCGTGCATGGGCAACGTCTTGGCCGACGCCAGGTGAACATTTTAAGCAACAAGTTTCCCCAAATATAGCTGCCGGTCATTTTCGTTAAAGTCCCAACAATCTAAAGATTTCACGTGTCCTTTTGTATTATTATTATTAATTAGCAACGTGAAAATGGACATACTCTTAAATCTAAATCATTTTGTTACATGGATTTTTGTGGGTTATCTATAGGCTTCCGTACGTGACGAGCCGTGAAGGTCACATGGTACAATTTCTGAGCATGATCAGCGTCAACAGAAGAACTCCTCTGCCCGGTATTTGCCTGGAGGTATAATCACGTGATGTCGGTCTGTATAATTATGCCAAAAAAAGCCCCAAAAATCCAGAGATAAAATATTTTAAGATGTTACTTCAATACCAGATTAGGCCTATATACGAAATGTAGTCCATGAGTTAGTCCATAGGTTTTGCCACCATCTGAGGTGGCAAAACTAATTTAATTGGTAAATGAATTATAAGCCTGGAGAAGAATAAAAAGTGGCATCCTGTTTGGGGTCTGATCACTCGGGAGATGATAACAAATAAGCTACCACGCTGCAAATTAAGGTTATCATTATACTATCATATCAAAATATAAGCTAGAGATGTATTGTAATATAAAAAAAAAACAGCAACTATATTTTGCAATCACAGGTGGTACCGGTATATGTGAATGTTTGGGTCCGGGCCCATGGACTAATGTAAATTCACACTCTGTTGAGCTGCAAAGTTACCAACACTATCAGAGGAGTTGTTAACAGTGTCATCACTGTTCTGTTTGTCCCCTATATACGTGACAGGTCTTGATTTCGCTGTTTCTGATAGCCATCGGTTCATTCGACACCTTGCTTTATGGTCTGAGCTTCGCTGGCTGGGGGTTCTATGGTGCATCAGTCTTGGCCGTCCCAGTCCTCCGCTACAGACAGCCCAACCGACCAAGACCCTTCAAAGTACAAATAAAATTACTCTTTTTTTATTTTAGGGAGCGTCAATTTTTTTCTGCGCAAATTAATAAAAGTCTCAAAATATAAAAATTCACGTTATAACAACTTTTAAATGAATGGTTGGTGGCAGCAGAGTTCATTTATTTTTATATTATGAGCATGCGTGCACCACTATACACACATTTGTTTTAGTTTGTAAACACAGAATGATTTTGGCTGCCACAAGGGCATACATTAAGCCATGGGTGGCAAAAGATTTTGCCCCAACTTGCACATTATTAACCGGTTCGCTCTGGAGGCCGTGTATACATACACGCAAAAATGTTGCGGTATTCGGAACGCATGACGGATAAACACGCAGGGAGCGAGGCCACGGGTCGAACAACTTGTTGGTAAAAAAAGGTCGACAGTTACTGAGGTGCTGTTTGCTGCCATCAAGAGTTTGGGAATAGGGCTATTTGCTGCCACCTGTAGTCTCATCAACCTAATATGTGGATCCGGAATTGTTACGAAAGTTTAACAGTCTTCCAGATGGCTCTGGGGACAACTCTACTGCATTCGCGAAAAGGTAATTTAATCACAAATTGACCATTTACAATGGTGTTTTGCTCCACAGGTTCCCATCATTCTGGCTATTTTAGTTTTCATCTGCTCTCTGTACCTCGTTATTTCGCCGTTCGTAAACGGACCCGACATCGAGATCATCTACGCATGTCTGTTTATTCTGTCTGGGCTCGTCTTCTATTTTCCTTTCGTCCACTTCAAGTTGCGGCCGCGCGTTGTAGGTGAGTGTGATGTATTGATTTATAAAGCAATAAATGGTTGAAGAAAATGATTTTGAAAGTAGGCTTAGAAGTAGGCCTTGTAATAGACGCTGTAACAATCTTCAGACTGTGCATGTGAAGGACGTATCAGACTCCAGGCACAGAAGAACGAATGGCATTGGTCAGTGTTGAATGAGATGTTGTAATGTTAATTCTGATTGGACAGTATTTGGCTCTCCAATTTTAAGGGCCTTGTTTTAGATTGTCTCAAAACAAACGGGATTCCCCAAAAATGTCTCCAGTGATTAAAAACAAAGAAGATTGCAACAATGTGTCGAAAGATGCCAATACACATTCATAGTTGATGAATAATGAACATGTTGACTGGTTCATTGCCCGTAGGTTCGTGCACAGATTGCGTGGTATTTTTGTCATGGTGGGCTCCTGTTTCTATGTGTAAGGCGTATCTCTCTCATGACATTTCTTCTTCTTCTTTTTTAATTTCAGGTCACATAACAACATTTCTGCAGAAGTTGTTTGTTGTTGTTCCCTCAGATTATGTGGCACCAGAGTAAAAAAAGGAGCCTTTTGTTTATTTATGGTCGATTACATGAAAGGCTCGGAATTCAATCTGGTGTATAGAATCGTCGATATGATAATGAATATTCATTAACTAAGTACATGATTATTCATTAACTAACCACTTTTTCATTTAACTTTGAATTTCGCCATAATTATGAGAGCGGTCTTTTTAAAATTTAACTTATGGATATTCATTTATGCATATTTTCATTGTAGGGTTACAGGTGTTATAAGGTATTAGAATTTGTTCAATTATTATACAAGTAATGAATGTTTATGAGTGCAATGGTAAGAATAAATTCTTGAGGTGACAATGAAATAGGTGAAGCCAAGTGGAATGGAACATTCAGTCTGTCACCGATTGCAAACAATCATTATTGTTTTATATAACACCTGAATAAATCCTCAACATCTGATAGGTCAGATCCATCAATCGTGTGATCGTGCAATGGAACTTCTATTTACCATGGAATAGAACTTCTATTTCTGCGGTGCAGCAGGGCCGTGGGTTGGACGAATTATAAAATGAGATGTGATCAACGACCTACCAATCAGATTACAGGGATTTCTTCAGGCGTAACTGTATAACACAGAATTTCATAAAGGCATTTCCATTTTGAGGTTAGAAGGGATTTTTTTAAAATATGTTAAGTAGATAAATAGGAGACAAATGCAATAATCTTGGACACATGGCAAAAGATGCAGACATTTAACAGTAATTTATTGATGGCAACTTATTTTAGGATTAGGGCTTCATTTAATTTTCACATTTTTACTTTTTAAATATTAACAAATTTATATGGAGCTGTTCGATATATCTTTTTCATTTCTTCATGACATGGGTGCTTTACGGCACAAAATCTGTTACTGGTGCAGTTGTATTTAGAAATACAAATAACCATGATCATATTTGACTAATGTGGAAAATGATATTTGAATGCCACAAAGCTATGACTGCAACATGCACATGTATAGTCATGTGACATGTGAATAAAACATGTAATCAAATGTGACAGACTTGTGATGAGCATGTGATGCACATGCAATACACACGAGACCCAAATGTGATGCATGTGATACAAATGTAATGCACATGTGATACACATGTGGTGCACATGTGATACACATGTGGTGCGCATGTGGTGCGCATGTGGTGCACATGTGATGCACATGTGGTGCATATGTGGTGCACATGTGGTGCACATGTGAGACACATGTGATGTGCATGTGAAGAGCATGTGATGAACACTGACTGAACATGTGATATGTATGTTTCCAATCCTGATTTTAGATACCGCTTGGTATGCGTTTAAAAGCAACTATAATAAAGTTGGAATTGAGGCCTTGTTGAATAACAATACTTATACCATTTCTGCTTATAATTACAAATAATTATATCATGCCTTAAAATTGAGTACAACCATTCTCACAAAATGACACCCGTTACAATGTAATACAACAAAATATACAATTACGCGTCACATTTTTTTCATGTACACACCAAGTTGTATAAATGGGCTGATTTCTACAACCAAAAATTCACAAATTCATCATCGCATTAAAATATATATAGGCAACACTTGCAAACATTTTATACTTCCCTACTACAAACACATAGGGGATTTTGTACATGCTATGAACACATATATACTATAGAAATGGTTTGCATATAACACACGTGATCCACAATGTTAAATTTATTGCATTTTGTGGGCGAAGCTTAATAGCTTAATACAGGTATACTTCAGCAAACAATCAACACTTAATTTATCTATTCAGATTCACAAACGGCTTTCAAATGGTACACAATAGTCAAACAAATTAAGTGGATATTCTTCGACATTTTGGAGAGTTTAGAAGTAAATTCATGTGCCATTTTAAGATGCAGTGCCACATTTTTAAAACATGAGTTTAAAAACACTTAGTATGTTTACTGAATATCCAAATTTACTACAGCAAAGATATTGTCACTTTTGTCTCTTCCCTTGAATTTGATTTTTACAATGTCCTTATCGGTCGAAAATACAAAAGTTCAAGCGTCAAAAACAGCACCTGTATTAACGGGATACGTATGTGGTGCACATGTGATACACATGCGATACACATGTGGTGCACATGTGATACACATGTGCACCACACGTGGTGCACATGTGATACACATGCGATGCACATGTCATGCACATGTGATACACATGTGATGCACATGTGATACACATGTGATACACACGTGGTGCACATGTGATACACATGTGATGCACATGTAATGCACATGTGATACACATGTGATACACACGTGGTGCACATGTGGTGCACATGTGATACACGTGTAGTGCACATGTGATGATTAACAGTTGTGGCTTTCTATGGAATGACCACACCACCAGCACATCAAACACGATATATAGCAGAAAACAGCTCACACCAGATTTCTGAGCCACAAAAACTTGTCCACTTTTCACCATTTAAAAGAAGCAAAAAACGTAAACGAAAGCATAAGGTAAGATATCATAGAAAACAAAAATTAATACATGTACATTGATAAAACCACAGAGCATAATAAGTACGATGGCCATCAAATTTCAAAGTTATGAAAAAGCATCTATTTGAAAGGTTAACAATGAAAGGCAGATTGGATAGGTATAAATGTTAAGATCACACTAGGTATGAAAGAATGCATGAGTTGGGTGAATAGCATAGCGCTACGAAACACACATGTTCAGCTCCCTAAGTACTTTCACTATTAACTCGATTACTACCTTTTCCTTCCTACATTCGTGAAACATTTTATATTTATGCAAAAAGTAGGAATAGCTCATGGGTTTTAATTCAACAAAAGCATGAGTCTGGCATGGCTAAGACAATTATCAGCAGACTTATGTTCTGGTGGTGGTTAAATACAAAGCGATGTTTACAGGTACAATAGATTACAGACTTGGGGCATAACTATGTATCACAACAAGGGCCAAGTTCGCGCAGGAATATAGTTGACCAATGGTTAATTAACGTTTGCCCGAACTCTGTCTAGTCGACGGTGGTTGACTACGCTAGTCGACTATTTGGAACCAGCCTACTGTGGTTGGTTGCTTCGCTGGTTACCAATAGCCACGCGCATTCATAACACTAGCAGAGAGCCAGGATTCAGACGTTTTGCGATGACATTTTGACCAGCGTTTGACTAGAGACGTTCGCACGTTGCTATCAGTGCGCAGGCGTAAGGTACGTCACAAATCAACCACTAGTCGACTAATGGTCCTTGCCCGAACTTGGCCACTGGTTAATGTTAAACTAAGTATACCTCATAATACAGAACTATAGAATAATATTTTGAACTATAATTTTCATTGCAGTATTTTTATCTAGAAGACTTGGGTTACGAGGAAACATTGAATAAATGTTCTACTTTATGAAAAAGTCACTGACTTTTGCACAGTCTTTTGTTACTTTTTTTATCACAAGCACTACTTATATAAATATTACTTATAAATAGTTTTGTCGCGGAACCCGATGCTTTACCAGATGCGAACCAGCAAGACGAGCCCCGGCGAGCTTGTTGTTCGATTGGTAAGACGTCTGCACTAGTAAGCGGGAGTTCAGGCAATTTTTTTTCTTCTCACATTTACTCGGGACAACACGGAGTATACAGTACTTATAAAAATACGTAGGGGAAGGGAAAAACCCAATATTGAAAGCACTAATATTTCTATTTGATATTTCTCTGTAGTATGTTGTGTGATATGGACACAAATTATTGCTTCTTAATAGTTTACACACACATTTCACACTGAATTATTGTTTTACTGGTGTCTTTTTGATTATTCAAACATATGTTCAAAATATTCACAAGGGGCAGACCACACACTTAAGATCACAATCTTAGTATAGGAAAATATTATTTTCTGCAGATCAGACTGAATACTGATTTTGACCATTTCTACAAGAACTCCATTAAAATTATTTATCATGAGCACATTTAAATCCACAGCTGGACAATCCACAGTTGCTGAATGGTAAACTGTTTGTGCAGGGTGTCCAAAGCCAATATATCCGTTGAACACCATTTTTTCTGAGGAAACTAAATTGTTGTTTTCTGTTTGTTTGTACAAATATTACCATGAGATGATAGAGTGTTTCTTTACACTTGACAGGATTTCTGTTTGGTGTGAATAAGCTTCTGTACTGATGACGTCACACTTTGTTTACGTGTGTGCTTTCCTATGGTGTCAGTGGACCGTGGGCCCCCACTGGCTCCATAGAAAAGTGCACATGTCAACAAAGTGTGACATCATCAGTACAGAGGCGTTTTGGACCTTTTGTTTAAAAGTTACGGCAAAGCTTGTACAGATGTCAAACTCTCTTAGGGCACTTTTCAGATTGACTGATGTCTGATGAGGGGCATTCACACACCTTCTTGGTATGTGAATGCCTTTCATTGGATGCCAGATAATCTGAAAAGCGGCTCAACTTAGAATTCATGTCATTTCATTTAATTAGCTGTGTCTCTGGACTGGGGTGTCCAAATGAGATGGGATAAAGACCATTGTGTAGAGTATTTACTCCACCTTCAGACTCTATAGCCAACTTTTGCAAAACGAAATTGCTAGTATTTTAAAATTTATGGATTGACTGCTACATTTTTATTGACACACACTGTACTTGAGGACAAAAAAATGAGAGGTGAAGACCCAGTGAAATTAACAGACGGTGGCGGAGAGAAATTATGGTTTTAGTTGACCTGCTGAAAATGTAACACCCCCCCAAAAAAAAACCAATAAGAATAATAAAATTATAATAACAAAATGGCTCACCTTGTTAAGATAAATATTTCTTCATACCAAAATATTTTATGAGCCCTTCAATCCATTTTCATTTAAAAAAACCAAAAAACTTACAGTTTTCCAAACAAGATTTCTTTTGTCAATATAAAAACAATAAAAAATTGGGGGAAAATGCAGCTTTGAAAAAAAAACAACTTTAAATTACTAGAAAGAGATATCTCCAAACAATACTGACAAAGACGTACCAATAACGACATGGCATAGGTATAAAAAAGGTTATGTAACATAATAGCATACATACAAATAAATAAGATAAAAAATACATCTGGTTGAAGTCATAGCTAATGAAACACGCAATGGGTTCGTGTAATAAAAAACTTTTCTACACGTGTCAAACCTTTCAAAGCATTTTTTCTTTTTCTCTGAATTGTATTTCCGCAACATGCTTGCGTTTCAGTTCATGAAAACCGAATTTATTTTCATGAACTGAAAGCACACAGCGCGTGCATGTCAGTTCGTGAAAACGGTGATGATTTTGACCTTTTACTAGTTTGCTCCTTTATAAGCTACACAATGCCAATATTTAGTTGGACCTCACCTTTCTATAAAACATATTATATTGTCTGTGTAGGCAAGACACAAGAGGCAATTAAGACGGATTAAACACTTTAGCCGAAAATGTAGCCAGGGTTTGGCAAAACCCTGGCTCCAGTAAGGGTGCTGATGTAGGCCAACACCTGCTACAACATTCAATCAATGGTGACTAGGTAGGCCATGGGCATGTACGCACACTGCCAATGTTAGAGTTTAAGATTGGTTCCCAACCCTCCCTTCATAGTCTTGAATTTACTAGATTGACCAGGAACCAGCCCACCTTTGCATTACTTTACTCTGGTTACTCATGCGCCAACAGCCAATACCTCAGTCAATGTGGGCAGAGGGAGAGTTGCCACATTTCACATTTTTAGAGTCAAAGACAAGTTCCCAACCCTCTCTTTATAATCTAGAATATAACAGAGGGACCAGGGACCACCTATCTTCGCTGTACATTGAGAGGCTGCCCTCTTTGGATCATGCGCATGACAATAGCTCCAGTAAGGATCTTGAAATTGCAATAACATGTATCTGCTAACCAATTCAGTCATTTTTGCAATGAGGCCTGCCACTGAGAGTTCAAGACTGGTTCCCAACCCTCCCTTAATAGTCTTGAATATCAGAGGGACCAAGAACCAATCTATATTTGCTGCACATTGTTAGGCTGCCCTCTCTTGGTCATGCACAAAGCCAATAGCTCAAGTAACGGTCTTGATACAGGTGTAATCACATGCACCTCCTACTTTCAGTCAATTTTGGCAAGGTAGGCCGATGGGACGTAGCCCCGCTGCCCGTTCTTATCCATCAGCCACCATTCCGAGTTGCCTTCAATGTCTCGATCTGAGATTAGTTGGACCACGTCCCTCTCGGCCAGAGATAGCTCGTTCTCTGCCGATGCTGTGAATTCCCACTCGGCATAGTAGTACTGCAGATAACAAGGCGAAAAAAGTGTTAGTTAGGTCTTTCCAGAGTAGTCAGTCACAAGTCACATGGCATGCCTTGTGTTCTGGTAACATTCATTATCATACTTATTGCTTGGAAAACCATAAAACCATACAGTGGTGGAGCGGCTTGGGGCAGTAAAGGAGTAACAGGCAGGGT